GGGAAGGGAAGGGAAGGGAAGGGAAGGGAAGGGAAGGGAAGGGAAGGGAAATTCCCGGATTTTTCCCTGTTTTCCCGGCTCTGTTGGCTGAAGGGTTAATAAATAACTGGGAATTGGGTGAGATTTGCTCCGGTTTGGGTTTAAACTGGTGAGCAGGGAATGGGGGGAACTGGAGGGGACTGGAGGGACTGGGAAAACTGGTGGGAAACTGGTGCCCCAACCCCACGGGAATGATCCCCATCCCATCCCAAATTCCCCCCCGGGAACGGAGGAGCCAAATTCCCGGAGCTGAGGGAAGAGGAAAACACAGGATTTTCTCTTCCTCAGGGAGGAAAATCCGGGGGGAAAAAAATCCTGGAATTTACCTTTAAAATCCCGTGAGGAAAAAAAAAAAATCCTGGAATTTACCTTTGAAATCCCAGGGAAAAAAAAAAAAATCCTGGAATTTACCTTTAAGATCCCGGGAAAAAAAAAAAAAACTCCTGGAATTTACCTTTGACCACTCGCAGGTCGTCGTCAAGGTGCTCCTCGTCCATCCCGGAGAGCTCTGGGAGAAGGGAAAAACCTCGGGAATGAGGGAGGAAAAGGGGTTTCTGACCGGGATCCCCGGGATAAAAAGGCTCGGGATAACTCTGGGAATGTTCATTCCCGTGGTTAAAATTTAACCCGGGGGGGGTTTCAGGTCAGGTCCGGTTGGTTTGTCCTCAAAAAAATGCCTCAAAATAAGTTGGGATCGGGGCCAGTCCTGAGAATTCCGTTTTTTTTCCCCCTTTTATCCAAGGTTTTTGTGGCTTTTCCTCATCCATTTTGGGTTAAAAAAAGGGGAGAATCCTCAAAATCCTGGAGGTTTTGCCTCCAAATGTGGGGGGGGAAATGGGGAGGTGAAAAATTGGGAAAAATGAGGCCGGAAAGTGGAAAATTGGGAAAAACGGGGTGGGTTGGGGTGGGAATCAACGTTTTTCCAAGGAAATGAAGCAGATTTGGATCCCCCCTCAAAAATGGGATTTCCAGGGACACCTGGATTTGGGATGAGGAGGAATCACTGGGTTTAAAGGCTAGGAGAGAAGAAATGGGAATAAACCCTCTAAACCTGGGAATTCCAAGGGTTAAACTCCAAATAAAGGAATTTATTTGGGAATCAGAGGGAACCAGTGGGATCTTGGTGCTCTTTGGCGTGTTTTAAAGGCCCAATTTTCCTTTTTCCTGTTGTTTGTTTGCCCCGAAAACGTCGGATTTTGGGAACAAAACCCCTCCCAGGGCACAGAGACCGGGGCAGAGCAGCCGCGTTTCGTCACCCCGGGAAGGGTCAGGGACATCAGCCCTGGCTGGAATTCCTGGCTGCAATTCCTGGCTGCAATTCCTGACTGCAATTCCGGCCTGGAGGCAGCACCGGGGGAGGGGGGGGGAATTTTTTTGGGGTGAAAACAACCCAAAAAAAGGGTTCGTTTGAGGCGTGAATTCTCCTGCTGCGACCCCATTTTTATCCCCCAAATCCCTCTTTTCCACCATTTTTATTCCCCCCAAATCCCTCTTTTCCACCATTTTTATTCCCCCCAAATCCCTCTTTTCCACCATTTTTATTCCCCCCAAATCTCTCTCGTCCCCATTTGTCCCCTTCCCAGGAAGAGGAGGAGGGAGAGAGCACAGGCAATAGAAGGGGGTCCCTGGGGGGGGGTCCCGCCGCCATTTTGCCCGTTGCCAACAACAACCACCACCACAACCATCCCGGTTGCCAAGGCAACACTTCCGTGGCAATCGCTCCGCGTGACGTCACTTCCTGCGCGCCGGAGGTGCCGCGGGGTGGCACAAGGAGGGCCCGGAGGCCTCTGAATGAGGTCGGGAGGGGGTCGGGGCGTCCCGGGAGGTCTCGAAGGTGGGTCCGGGGGCGACCACCCCCCAAAAAACTCCACCTATCGACCCCTCCTTTCTCCTTAACTTCTCCAGAGCATCTCCATGACGGGATAAACCTGGAATTCCACGACCAGGAGCGGCCGCCGGTGCCCCCCGTTACCTCCCGGTGCCCCCCCCGTTAACCCCCGGTGCCCCCCCCGT